TAAGCAATAGGCAAGTTAAAGACATGTGGACTTTAACTCTGAGAGTTGCTCACCGGCGTTTGCTGACTGAGGAACTCTGGGAGTTGAAGTCCACAGGTCTTAAAGTTGCCAAGGTTGGAGACCACTGCACTAAGGGATTTCCCTTCCTCACACAGCAGAGAGAGGAAATTCCTTGGTGGGCTTCAGGAACAGACCTCAAATGTTGAAGATTTGCTAGCTTCCTAGGGCTAGAAAGTTAGCAAATGCTGTCATTCTGAAGGCCAAAAAGATTCCCAACCATCAAGACGATGGTATGTGTTAAGTTTTCTACCTTTCTAGCCTAGGAAGGGTAGAAAACACGATCATTCTTGCAATCATTTGGAAGGCCTCTTCTCCAAATTGTGCATTTGGAATTATTGCAATAATGGTGCCCACTTGCAGGATGGCAAGACGTGGCTTCAGAAGTATATGTACACATGTATGGACAAGAATGGTATAGTGGAGGTATACCAATGTGAAAATGTTGCAAAGATGATAATTGTGTTAAAAAAAACTGAAAAAAAACACTATTCAATAAAATATATATATTTTTTAAAGTTTGTGTTCCAAATTATGAGATTCAGTGTGGCATTAATGTTAACTTGCAGACTAGGAGAAATGAGTTATTTATTTAAAATATGTAAATCTCTGGGTATAGACAGATTTTTGTTCTTTTCATTATTTTGCTAGAAAAGGTTATTTTCAGATCATTCAAAATTTTAGTTTTAAATAGAAATAATGAAAAGCTGGGCAGTATCCTTTTATGAATTCACCAGAACAATTATAGTAGAAATGGAGCCACTTGTTGAGCAGGCTTACAAATGAAGCACTAAAGATGCAGGATTCTTTTCCTAAAGGAAATCTCAGCTGAGATCCACTAGTTAAATTTAGAGTTACATAGAGAGAGATAAAAGCTAGAAACTAACGATCATGTTGCTACCTTGTATATTGCTAAGGAAAATTGATGGAAAAGTCAGCCAAGATGGCTTCATTCTTCATAGAGGAGGTAGTAAGGTAGTTACAGACTGGCCCATGCAGTTTTGAGATATGCATGTTTAGATCTATTTGCTGTGAACTATATCTGTTTAAAAAATGAGAAAAATATGACCTATTAAAATTGTGGCAAACATTAAAAAAGACCCTGTTTGTTTCACATAGAACCAATATTTTCAAAGAGAGAGAATATGTATAAAAATAAATGGTGACTCATAGTAATCTGTTGTAAATGCAGTCTTTACAGAAGGCTGATTTCTATTACAATAATTGTAATGAATAATTTTTATATAGGTTTTTTTCTGTTCTTTATAGATTACAGTCCATATGGAACACACAATGCATGGGGAGGTTCACCATACTCACCCCATCAAAATGTACCTTCTCAGGGACGGCTTGGTGACAGGTAGGGGATTTGAACTTGCACATGCTATACATGTTTTAAGTTTTCTCAATTAAACTGAGAAGCAAGAACAACAACAACAACAACAAAAACTTTTTCCCCTTCCAAACAATTATCTATCCGAAAAGGGAGAGATTATCTATGACAGACATTGCTAACCATGGGAAATCTTTGCCATCATCTGAGAGAGAACAGCAGCTTCGTCTTGAACTACAGCAATTAAACCATCAGATAAGTCAGCAGACACGAGGACTTGAGGTATGTATTCTTAGTACTTTTTCTTAGAAAGAACTAGAGAAATGAAAAGGGGAGGGTGACAGAACAGTGTAAATGTCACAGAATTTCAGAATGAAGAACTCACTACTGTTCAGTCATTTTGAATGTGATTTTAAAATGACAGTATTAAGGGAGAAATAGCTGGTTCCATTGAATTCTGCATTCATTTGCATATGATATTTGTTCTCCTCCTATACTCCCACACATGTTCACAAACTTGAGATCCATAAATCTTATATAATGGAAATCAGTATTATTGCTCTGTTTTACTTCTTTTCCCTTTTAGTGTTCTTTGTTTTTTCCTAAATAGCAGACCAGATGATAGTTATACATAATTTATTGAGAACTTATGTAGAAAGTTTATTTCTTGGGTTGAAAATTTAAATTTATGATAGCATAATGGACAGGAGTGTTGACTATAACCTATATTCATCCCAGAATATCTGTGTTTTCGCAAAAAGACAACATGAGGTAGCTTATGGGGAATTACTTTACTAATGAGCACCTTGAGTTGAACCTGCAAGACAACTGGTAGCCTGTGAGCAGTGGATATTCATGTACATACCGCAACATACCCGTTATTGCCTAGGTGCTGCATTCTGAACCAACTGTAGCTTCTGGGTGGTCTTCAAGGGCAGCCCTGTGTAGAATGCATTGCAGTCATTTACTTACAAAGTGTCTAGGTCATGAGTGACCATCTGGAGACCTTCAATTCTTGTGTTGTTGTTGAAAACAACACAAGTTGTGCTTAATTTGTGCATGTTGTGTTTGCTAGTACTTAATGGAGGAGTATTGGATGGCTTGAAAAATACCCAGCTTGATAATTAGTCTTCTTTATTATCATTAAACTTTTTCTTTAATTTTTTTTTAATTCATCATATATAAAAGGAGAGAATAAAACAAAAACAACAACAATATTACAGCTCTAATGTAATAATCAAAATTAAACTTACATATGCATTCATGTCATATCATACAGAATAGAATAGAATGAGTGGGAAGGACCTTGGTCTTCTAGTCCAGCCCCCTGCTCAAACAGGAGAGTCTATACCATTGTCAGATAAGTGACTCTCTAGACCAGGGGTGTCAAACTCAGGGCTAGACCTGGCCCACAGGGCCGCCCTGGGAACAGCAAAGGACCAGCCCGCGGTGCCTCTGCCAGCGAAAACAGCCCTCCTGAACTCTGTTTTCACTGGCAGAGGGTTGCAGGACATTGTTGCAGCCGAATACGGAGCTCAGGAGCCCGTTTTCGCTGGCAGAGTGTTCAGGCCACCACAGATGCCCCCGACATGAGTGACGTCGAGCTGGCCATTCCCGCCCTGGCTACACCCGCCCCGGCCCCCTGAGATCAAACACAATCCTGATGCAGCCCTAAATGAAATCCAGTTTGACACCCCTGGTGTAGACTCTTTAAAAACCTCTACTGATGGACCACCTTGATTAGTTTCCAACCGTTGTTTCATGTCCTGCCCTCTGGTGCTTTGGAGAATAATTTCAACCCCTCTTCTTTGTGGCAGCCCCTTAAATATAATTGTTGTTATGTTTTAATCAATTTGTTTGTTATAAGAGCATTATTTATTTATTATATTTCCTATTTCTTAATTTCCCATCTTCTTCAATTAAACATATTGGCGCCTCTAGGTTACTGCAATAGTTCTTTCTCTAAGAACTTGATGCTGTCATGCAAAGACAAGGAGAGACGTACGCCCCAAGGCTTCAATCTTCAGTTCCTTTCTCCTGTCATTTGTTACAATAGACTATTTGCAGTTTGTTTATCATTCTGATTGGTTGATTCTCTCTGACCTCTTTCTTGTCAATTGCAACTTATAAATACAAAAACTTGTATAGACGTACTCCTAAACTTATAATCATAGTTGAGCCTGGTATTGTGGCAATAAGTCATTGCAGTTACTAAGTGAATCACCACATGACCCTGATCGATTTATAGCAGCAGTCATTAAGCAAATATGTGGACTTTTTTTTTTTTACTAGAAACTGGTTGAAAACCAAAAATTCTGGCCAGATGAGTGCAAAACACTGCAAATAGCTGTAAATGCTGGCCAAGTGCCCAAAATGCAATCATGTGATTACGAGAGTGGCTTCAGAACTTGGAAAATGAATACTAAGTAGCTCTGGGGCCATCTGCCATAATTTCGAATGATTGCTAAATGATCGGTCATTAAGCAAGGAGTACTATATGCAAGTCAGATTTCCTAACAGTGGTGTAATCAGAATTATCAACAATAAAATTTTTGTTCAAATATAGGAAAAGATAGAATTGTGTAGCTCCTTGTAGAGTTGATAGAAATACTATGTTAGATTATTGATATTTTTAATCATTAAAAAGTGCATATTATCATCTTATTTTCCAAACTATTGCCGTTTTTTAATGAAGAATGAACTCAGTAAGTCTTCGAAGGCAAAATTAATTAACAGTAACATAACATGTTAAAACAAAATGGTCTTCCTTTGAATAGAAGACTTTCCTCCCTATATTCTAGAATATTTAATTTAATGTACCATTTTCTAACAATATTTAGAAATATTTTAAAAATTACACTCTACACAGGTTCTCTAATAAAAGGATTGCTTGGCTGTTTTTATTTTTGGATTCTCCAGAATTCTCAGTTTACCATGTTAATGACATTTAAATTAGTATGATGTACACTAGTACAGTAATAATTATCCATTGGACATCAATAGTATCTATTGATGCTGTCTTCCAGATCAGACATTTTCTAGACAGACATTTTAAAATTATATTTTATATTAGAGTCCCCCAATCTTACTGGCTTTATGGACTGGCTGGCGGGGGGGGGGGGGGGGGGGG